ACGGCAGGGACAAGCGCTGCCTGGGCACTGCCCTGCCGGGGGCACTTCCCTCGTGCACGGCCAAGCAAAGCGCTCAGAGCCGAGGGCTCTTGGCTTTGCAGGTCCCAGCAAAGCTCTCGCTTCGCCTGGCAACATTCCTCCTTCCTGGGAGAGGACAATGAATCTCATAGCAGCAAGGGCAGGGCCTGGTGTCCCTCGTGTTTGTTTAAGCCCAGCAGGAAACACCAGACTCTGTCTGCTAACTCTGACCTCCAGACCCCCGTGCAGGCCAGGGAGAGCCCCAGCTGCGAGGTGCCGCCCGTCCTTACTGCTCACGGCGCAGGAGGGGAGCGGGGTGTCTCTGGGCTGGCATCCTACCCGAGGAGCTAGAGGCCCACTCGTTGCCCGTGTCTCGGTCGCTGTCGCCTTCCCTCGTCTCAGCGATGGTGGAAGCCGGGGTGTTTGAGCAGGAAGCACCCACTACGTGGTGCCTCCGGCGGCGCCGGCCTGAGCACTTGGACCTGGGGTTGTGCAGCGCAGCAAACTCCTTGGCTCCTTCCTGCAACCAGAGCAGAAGACAAGGCGGGTGGCAGATGACCAGGGAACACAGAAAGGCTTTTCCGCAGGCCCTGGGGCAAGCCCTGCCCTGCCACCAACGAGAGAAGGTGGAAGAACCACCACGTGCGGTCACTTCAGCAACTGCCAAGGCCCTGCCAGCTGCCTGCACTGCACATTCCCCCTTTGCTTCTTTCGGCATCGCTGCCTGGTCGGAAGAGGCTCCCTGGCCCTGGCCCTCCAGTCCGCTGCCCTGCCTCTTGCCCTGGCCATGAAGTTCTCCCGGCCTCTCCCTCTGCTCCCCCGGACCCCCCGTATCTGAGCCAGCCGACCAGCTCCGACACCACCAAGCGCACCCACCTCTTCCCATCTGCAGCTCTCGTCCCTGTTAACACAGCTAGGCTGCATGTAGGAAATATAATTTCTAAAATAGCTCGAGCCTTCCCCACATATGGTAGATTCCTTCCCCGGCATGTTTAACCTGGGGTTCGTTTTTTCAAAAGCTGCACTGACTCCAGAGAAATCATTCGTCACCACAATTACCCATCTGCTAACTATGAGATTGGTCTTCGTCGGAGCTTTGCTAAAATACGCATCTGGTAAATTCTGTATTTGGATTCACGCTCCCCTGAATCTAATGAGGTTTAGAACTAATCCTGAAAAAAATCATCAAAGTTGTGAAAAGGACCCACAGAGTTCTGCAGAGCAGGGCTGGCCAGGCCACTTCTCTCGTGGTTTCAAAAGCAGCAACGCAGAAACATACCAGCCAGAGGAAACAGTCTGCTCCACAAGGATCTGGCTCGATCTTGGTCTCTCTATTCTTTCGTTTGTACACATTAGGAGTAGCATGAAAAGCTGAAAAAATAATAGTTATCTTTACTATTAGCATCCTCCAAGAGTCTCCCCCCACACTGCAAGGGACAGGCGCAGCACGAACTCAAGGAAGGTAAGCGGGAGCCTGAGGCAGGCAGCAAGCGTGACCCACCGGCGCCCCCCGCGCGCTGGG